ACGGGCTTCAAACATTTAGCGTCGTCACACCCGGGTGCTCACAGAGCTGCCCAGTACACGACTCTCTTGGAGGATGGGTCTTCGTGACTCACTACCTGTATAAATAAAGGTTAAAAAAATCTGATCAATGAAATGGGGAGCAGAGGAGAGAAGGGGGGGGGGATTCCCCCTCCCTCCCCGTGAGGAGGGACTCCCCTGCATGCATAGAGCAACTTTTGCTCTGCTGCCAGTGGAGCGAGCAGGAGGAAGATGACGGTAACGATCGGGGACTTCCTGGTAGTTTACTGTATTTATTACCAGCCGTGTTACCGGCTGTGTTCAGACAAAAAAACATTTACTGTACGTATCCGAGTTAACACTACGTATTCAGTGTTTCCTCTAGATCAGCTCCGCTGGCGGGGAGCTTGTGGTTTTTTTTGTTTTGTTTTTTGTCGGGGGGCCTCACGTCTGTGTTGCCCGCCTGCTAGCTTAGTGCTATGTTGCTGCCGGTAATTGTCAACGTGGGGAGGAGGGTTAGCAGAGCAGTACGTCTGTAGCATTTTGGCTAGCGCGTTTGTATTGCTGGTTCAAATCCCGGCCAGGACCTTTCTGGGTGGAGTTTGCATGTTCTCTCCGTGCTGCATGGGTTTTCTCCGGGTACACCAGTTTCCTCCCACAGACCAAAAACATCTATGTTGGGCTGATTGGTAACTCTAAATTGTCCCTGGGAGAGAGAGAGAGAGAGAGAGAGAGTGAATGGTTGTTTGTCTCGTTTGACTCTATGTCCCTGTGATGGACTGGAGACTTGTCCAGGTGTCCCCCGACTCTCGCACAGTGACTGCTGGACATGAGCACCAAAAAGGAAGAAGTGGGATGGATGGATGGATGGATGGATGGATGGATGGATGGATGGATGGATGGATGGTTGGATGCATGGGTGGATGGATGCATGGATGGTTGCATGGATGGATGCTTGGATGGATGGATGGATGGATGGATGCATGGATGGATGGATGCATGGATGGATGGATGGATGGATGGATGCATGGATGGATGGATGGATGGATGGATGGATGCATGGATGGAT